ATATCGCAATTACTGAAGAGGAAATACTTAAAACTGTAAAAAACATTAAAGAATAACAAGAGCCCCTGGGTGTTGACAATGTTCTTTATGAGCATATTAAATGCAGCATAAATACTATGCTACCTGTTTATGTAAGGCTATTCAATTTGATTCTTGACAATGGTATAATACCTGAATGCTGGACTGAAGGTAATATCATACCCAATATATAAAAATAAAGGAGATGTAAAATCACCAGAAAATTATAGACCTATTACCCTACTAAGCTGCTTTGGAAAAACTATTTACTGCAATAATCAATAATCGCTTAAATAAATTCTCAGATGAAAATGACCTGATAGGAAACTGCCAAGCTGGATTCAGAAAAAAATCACTCTACAACTGATAATTTGTTTTATTCTAAACTGCCTTATAGATTTACTATCTGAACAGAAAAAGAAATTATTTTGTGTATTCATAGACTTTAAGCAAGCATTTGATACAGTGTGGAGGCAGGGACTTTGGCAAAAAATTATTTGAAATATAATATTAATGGAAAATGTTTTACTGTTATCAAGAATATGTATCATAATATCAAATCAAGAATCAAATCAAATAATGAATATTCAGATTTTTCCCCCTGCATGAATGGAGTGAGGCAAGGAGAAAAAATCTCTCACCTTTTTATTGTTTGCAATTTATTTTAAATGATTCTTGAAAATTATCTCTGCAGTGAAAATGTAAAAGGTATTGAATGTAAAAAAAGCCACAAAGAGTTTGGGATGTACTTTAAATTGTTTATTATTTTGTATGCTGATGACACTGTTCTACTGAGTGAAACTAGTGAAAATTTACAAGAAAATTTAAACATATTTGATAAATACTGTAAAGAATGGAAACTTCAAGTAAATACTCAAAAAACTAAAGTACTCATATTTGGCTCAAGAAGCAAAAAATATAACAACTATTTTAAATTCAATGAAACCATATTAGAAACAACAAATGAGTATAAATATCTAGGTCTCTATCTTTCACGGACTAAAAGTTTTAAAAAAACTAAACAACATATAGCTGATCAAGCAAATAAAGCTATGTTTTCATTACAAAAAAAGATTAGGTCTCTTAACTTGACCATTGATTTACAAGTCGACCTCTTCAATAAAGCTATTAAACCCATCTTGTTGTATGGCTGTGAGATATGGGGATTTTCAGGCAGTAAAGAACTTGAAAAAATACAACTAAAATTCTTTAAAATGATACTCAATCTTAAAAAGACAACACCTTCATACATGATATATGGTGAATTAGGAGTAAAACCTCTTCAAATAGACATTAATAGTAGAATTATTAATTTTTGGTGTAAATTGACTGATATAACAAGCAACAAATTATCTAACAATATGTATTTAACTCTATATGGATTACATGATCAGGGTAAATTAAAATCAAAGTGGTTTATTGTTATTTCACGTGCCGTCCACACCTGTCCGAACCTAATGACCCGATTTAATCATGCGACAAATCTATTTATAGGCATTCTCAGTTACGTAATTACTAGGGTACTGTTGCACTGAATTAAAATGTAGGTAAAAAAAGGGCAAAAAAAAAACAAAACATTATTTTTTCTATACTGCAGTATGTGTCTGAATTGTTTAATTTTCGTTAATAATTCTTATGAATGAACTGTATTAGAACTTTGTGTTGCTCTCTGCTATGCATGTGACTATTTGTATGTAAAATAATTGACATGTATTATCTCTTGTATTTGTATGTATGCAAACAGAGAATATGTAAATAAAACTTGAAACAGTATGTCGCTCTCATACCCACTAAATAAACAGAAAATTCATCCGATGGGGATTTTGTCCTAGGTGGCAATTTTATTGAGGGGATTTTGTCCACTTCAAAATTTCACACATGAAGGGGATTATGTCAACCCATGGAGGGGAATATGTCCAGATATACAAAAATACATGTAGGGGAATTTGTCCGAAGGGGATTTTGTCTGACATTCGGTCTTCAGGCGTTTATATACTGTGACATGACGTGAACGTTTAATGCCGCATAAGATGAAAAACACAATTGTTAAAAAGCGACTTATAAAGTTTTGGTAGCCAGAACTACTTCTTATTGAGCTGCATAACATACATTTTCGGACTACTATTGAATACCATTTCAGATTGACGATCTCCTTGAACCTTAAATAAAGACCACCCAATAATTATGTTATATTCGAAACTGTTATAAAGACCACATCAGAAGTGTTACCTAATTTAAGTAGTTATGGCTTAGTTACAAAGCATGCTTCATAACAATACATGTAGTCTAAAAACTTACTTCTAGTGACAGAATATGCACATTTAATTATTACTTTTTTTACGGGAAAAGCACAGTTAAATGCAAAATGTTTATTATTTGATATAAGCTTTTACCTCACCTCATATATCTTCTTCATCCCCAGTGGGACATAAGGCCATAACCAGTTCCCTCCATTTCCCTCTGTCCTTTACTATTTGCTGTGTGTGGCCTAAGCTATATCCCTGGTTCTGCAGCTCTGAATGGATGGTTGTCCTTCAGGTGGTCCGAGGTCTGCCAGGTTTTCTTTTTTCAGGTGGTGTCCATTATAAGGCTACTTTACGCGTTCTTGTGACATCCTAAGCACAAGGCCCATCCATCTGAAACGCCTCCTCTTTAGTTCTGTTGCGATGGAATTGTATTTACATTTCTTGAGCAGATCTTCATTTCGCATCTTTTGTGGCCAAAATATGCCCTGCATACTCCTCATGCATTTGTTTTGGAATACCTCCAACTTTTGCAAGTTACTCTTGATGGCACGCCAACATTCTGACTCATACACCAACACTGGCTTTATATTACTGTTGTAAAGGCGTATTTTTGTGTTTTTTGCTATACAATTTTGACTTCCATATCGGCTTTAGCATAGCAAAAGCAGTATGGGATGAGAGTCTAGCTTGAATGTCCTTCTTAGTGCCATTGTCTGTACTTCTTTTGCTGCCAAGGTTGGAAAGGCATACACTGTCTTCAATGGTTTGTCATTGACAGTTATGGGCTCTGTGAGTTGGGTGTTTATTGCCATCCCTTGGTTTTAGTTGTGTTTATTTTAAGAGCAGTCTGTTTTGCACAATATTTGAGGGATGTTGTTTTCTCCTGTAATTGCTTCGTAGATGTAGAAATTTCCGCAAGGTCATCTGCAAAGTCCAGATCTTTCAATTGGCTGAACATTGACCAATGGATTCCATGTTTTGTGCTGGTTGGTTTTCGTTGTAATCAATTTTCATCAAAAACAAAAAAGGTGACAATATGCAGCCTTGTCAAACACCAGATATAAGGTTGAATGGTTCGGATATATAATGCATAAGTATAACATAACACTTATAGTTAGTGTTAAAGTGTTTGATCAGCGTGGTAATTTTCGGTGGTATACCATAGGATCTAAAGATTTTTAGCAAGATCTCTCTGTGGATACTGTCAAAAGCCTTTCGAAAGTCAATAAAGTTGATGAATAGAGGCATATTCCATTCTATAGTTTGCTCAATGATGTTAAGAAGCGTGAATATCTGGTCCTTACAGCCACGCTCTTTTCTAAAACCAGCTTGTTCTTCTCTTAGCTTAGAGTCAGCTGCATCATCAATCCTAGCAAGAACAATCTTACAAAACACCTTGCTTGGTACAGACAGTAAAGTTACCCCTCTCCAGTTGTCACAAATCTACAAGTCTCCTTTAGGAATTCTGACGATAAGACCTTTAGACCCGTCAGGTGGTAGGACTTAATTTTCCCAAATGCTTGTAAACAGGTTATGAAAAATTTGACTTGAGGTGTTGATGTCAGCCTTTATGAGTTCTGCATTGATGGAGTCAATTCCAGCAGCTTTATTATTCTTTAGCGATTTTATGGCTTTCTGGACTTCATCAAGAGTTGGTGGGCCAGCATCAATATTTATGTCTTCAGTTACTGGTATAGGATCTGCTGGAGATGATGGGTCGGGACAGTTCAAGTCTTCTTTGAAGTGCTCCACCCATCGCCTAGCTTGTTCTTCTCTGTGGTTAAAGCATTTTCCTGTTTGTCTTTGACATGCATGTTACCTGTATATGCGCTATGTTTAAGATAATTTTTGTGCATTATATGAAGTGCTTCGGATCAGCCATTGCTCAAGCCAATACTATGATGGTGTGTAAGTTGGATATTGACCTTGTACATCGATCTTTCTGTTCACGAATTTCATGAAACAACCTCGAGCACTTTCCTAAACAGAAAGACATCGTACTAAGCTAGTCGATATCCTAGTAAACATAAATACATTTATGCGATGGTTTGCATAAGAATGTGATACAAACATTCAAGTACTGTCAACAGGTGTTGCCTTTAGAATGACAGAAGATAAATTTTAAGAATATTTTTTAATATTCTAATTCACCCTATTTTATGCACGGATTTCTTGGACTACTTCGGTTTGTCGAAAACAAACAATATACATTTATATGTATGTATTTTACGGTTTTTTTTTTGTTATCATATACATAAAAGTCGACTTTAAAATGATAAAATAAAATGACTACAACAAATACTTAATAAACTACTACAAAATTGTGTAAATTGAAATAAATAAATGCAAAAGTGTAAAGACTACTTCCTATTTCTTCAATACGAGTTCTTTGCTCTAACCGACGACTGAACGAAACAAATATTTTAACTGGGAATCATTAAATACAAATGAGCCGCGCCATGACAAAACGAACGTAATGGGTTTGCGACCAGCATGGATCCGGACCAGCCTGCGCCATGCTGTTCGCTATCAGTTTCTCTACTTGTTATAGGGTTTGTAAGCGGACAGCATGGATCCTGATCAGACTGCGCGGGTGCGCAGGCTGGTCTGGATCCATGCTGGTCGCAAACCCATTACGTTCGTTTTGTCGTGACACGGCTCTAATATCAGTTAACGTGATAACTATGTTTTCACGAAAACTTCTTTTTCTTGTAATGCAGACTTCCGGTTGAGAAACGTGATATAACTGTAAAAAAATACTTATACATGTTGGCTATGTGTACTTCAAATTGTTATGAACCTTGAACCGAAAAGTGCTTATTAAGCTGACATGAATCTATCGTCATTAAGTGTACAAAATCAATCGTCAATAAGTCTACATGAATCAATCGTTATTTAGTGTACACAAATCAATCGTCATTAGGTGTACATGAATCAATCGTCATTAGGTGTACACAAAACAATCGTCACTACCATCATTACATCAGATTAGTAACACCAGCTGAAAATATCTGACATAGGGCACTATATTCGTTAGCACACATATCGTTCCGGAAGCTGTCTGCATACAGCATCACACACACGTTATCCGGGAGTTGATCGGGCTTTCCTCCGTACCCCGACAACCAGAGACTCTCGTCTATCGGTCGATTATCATCTTGCCATATCCACGTCATTTGTTTCTCATCGTAGAGTCCACCAAGCCATAATTGTTCTGTAAACAAAGCGGGGGCAAGCATTTACATGTTTATTTGTAATTTCTGTGAGTTTTTATTGGGTTTAATTTAGCAATTTAGCACTGGTTTTAATAATGGACAATAGTGATTATACTGTATGGCAGAAAAAATGGCAGGACAGAATACGAACAATAGCATTCAAAGACAGGTGTATCTTATTAAATCAATTTATACACTAACTTTTATTGTTTTGCAATCTAGGTAAGTAAAGAGGCTCACAACATTTAAGTTATAAATGAGCCGCGTCACGACAAAACCAACATAATGGGTTTGCGACCAGCATGGATCCAGACCAGCCTGTGCATCCGCGCAGTCTGATCAGGATCCATGCTGTTCGCTATCAGTTTTTCTACTTTTTATAGGGTTTGTAAGCCAACAGCATGGATCCTGATCAGACTGCGCGGATGGGCAGACTGGTCTGGATCCATGCTGGTCGCAAACCCATTATGTTGGTTTTGTCGTGACACGGCTCAAATGTTCTAGTGTACGTACGAGGATAAGGTACGCCTTTCACTTCCAGTTCTCTTTGGATCGTGCTAATTTCTGTTATGTTATAAATAGAAGCTAGTGTCCCTCCGTTCGCTTGACAGATGAGCTATGATAAACAAAGATCAAATGTATATAATATATATAATTATGAATATAACAGCACACCTACTCAAACCTGCTTGGAACACTTTAATGCTAGGCCCTCAGAAAATTGCTTTCAAATAAAATATAAGACTTTTTTCCTATACATACTGAGCAAAAGCATCTTGTCTGCTTCACAAAGAATAGTTTTCAGATTTCCGTAAGTTGTATTAAGGAATAACGTCTGAATTGCAGCTTGAAAGTAAATTCCTCATTATAAATGATTTTGCCATGCATGCATATATTTATGAGAAATAAAAAACTTTTCGTAAAATAATTTTCCAATCGTTACAAAGGGGCACATTAGATTTGTGTTTTAGTGTTTAATGCATATTTATTTTACCGAAGCAGATTCCCAGTTACTTCCCTTGGCGACACTTGCCATCTTCCGGTCGTTTACTTGGAACCAGTCATTCTCTGAAATTCTGAAACCCGTTTCTCTCTGACACAAAAATGGATGAAAGGCGTCACAGTCTGTATTTAACATTTCGCTCGCCTGATTTGACAGCACGATGCAAGCGCCTATGGTTGGATCAAACTCTGTGACCGACAATTTTGCCCATTCAATATCTGAGCGGTGACCCTCCGACCACCAGACCCATCCGTTGACGTCATCTGATTTACCTCCCGTCCACACTTTGTCTGTAAACGAAAGAACAAGGTACCATCTATTTGACACAGAAAAATGGCGTTTCCGTTTAAATTATCAAAGCAGAAAGTATTCTCGTAACTATATGGTATTTAAAGAACGACCAAATCAGTTTGACTTTAACACCATTGTTTTGTACATATAATGACTAATTGTCGTCTGATGATACCTAAGAAGTAAGCTAGTAATTAAGATGTCTGGTTTTCGACCCAATGATTGGGTCTGCTGAGGTCATACTTTAGACCAGTACATCTAAAAGTCAGGAAGCAGACTTTAAAGGGGTTCAAAACTTTAAATACAACTTTCAACGCATTGTTTCTTTAATAGATGTTCTACATTGTACTAAGAATATTTCAGTATCAATATCAACACATACCAATTAAATGAATTAAAGGACGGCTTTTATTCTGACATTGTAAGATTTTTTGTAAGTTTGGTGGTTGGTTCCAGTGATTGATATAAATTGCAAGAAATTGTTTCGCAATCGAGCTTAAATAAATATGTTTAAACCATAAGGTAATTTCATGGGTAGCTAATAAATAATAAATAAATGATTAAAATAATGAATACATTAATCATGGCATACCGTTTATGCTAATGCCATTGTCTGTAAGCCGTCCTTTGATCAACTTCATGTCAGTGTCACTATATACATGTATCAGTGTCCCGTCATTCCACTCGCACATTTCCTGTTCAACAACAACAACAATTGATATTGTATTATATAAATGGAGAGCAACAACACATTATAGGTCACATGACGACCTTCCAGCTTTTACTGGTGGAGGACGGCATCAGGTGTCCTTCCGTGCATCATAGGCATATAAAAAATGGAATTTTATTGAAGAATTGAAATTTATATAACAAACAGGGTATATAGTGTTGCTGAGTTACATATCCTGGCTGGAATAAATAAACATATAAGTGTGTCAGGGGAGGAGGGGTTTTTACGTTATATATCAATAGGAGTTAGTATACCTGGGCCTGGAGCCAGTTAAGATTTAGACGATTCACAAAAGCAATCTCCCTTAGTGTTATCTCTTCTTCTAAAGCAAACCAGCTGTCCACGGGGATTCTTAAATCTATTTTTCTCTGACATAGAAAGCCGTTATTTTCTGTACAGTTGCTGTCACCGAGTGAATACAAGTCGAAGACGGCCCCTTGTTCTTTTGATAAATATAAACAGTTAGTAGTTTTGTTAGATTCACTAAACGCCCATAGTGAGGGTTCCACGTGTTTGTCCGTACCCGAGTTATTTGACCACCAGTACCATTTGTTAGCAGCATGGTCGAATTTAGCCCCTGTCCACAGTTTGTCTGAAAACATGAACGTATATAGTGTCCACATTAAAATTTAAACCAATTTCTTAATTTGAATCTTACTACACATAATATCTTTACATGGACTTGTGCGTCTTTTATTCTGAACAAAAAAAATCGAACATGTTTAGGGAAAATTTTCAAATTAAGAACAGACTGACTAGCGAACAGTGCGGGACATAATCAGATCTCTGTCTGTTTTCTTGGTGAATTTGTGAATAGTTTTAACACAACTAACAGTGTACTATTTATTGATTAAGTTATTCAATAACCAATTAAATACCTATTAGAGATTATTCTCCAGATTGTTTTAACTGAAACATTTATTATTCAATTACATTTTAATACCAACCGTGACAAAATGTTTTATATGTACATGTATTACTAGTATAGTTGATATATAACTAGATACAATGTACATTGTAATGTATAAATAAAATTTTCTTCTTCTTTTTCTTCTTCTTCTTCTTCTTTTCGTATGGGTAGAATCTTTTGTAGTCAGAATTACATGTAATTAATAGAGGGTAAGTGCACTTTTTTATTCGTGCATTAACATCTGCTGAAACACGGGGACGCATAAAAAATCTCAAGCCCGCTGGTGTATCCGGAATACACGGAAACAGCCGATGTTTTACGATTGATAAATTTAAATACCTCCAGACGGAATGGACAATGACTCAAGCGAATCCCGTTCCTCCGAACTGTAAACATGTACTAGAGTTGCGCCATTTGTTGTACACACTTCCTGAAAATTACAATACTGTCTGTGTTAAAACAAATTTCACAATTTCTGGGAGAACTACAGTTAATTGCTTTAAGTACGGAATTCTAAATTTTGCCAACTTTTAAAATCTATGTAACGAACGAGATAACCTTTTTTGCAAATCAGACTGGTGTTTCCGTAAGGTTTACCAATGTCGGAAATTTCCCCTGGCATGGGGTGCCAGATGAGTTAAGTGCTATGCAATGCATCATTTTAGCGTATTTTATAAATGAACCGCGTTAAAATGACGTCCTTTCGGCGAATTTAAGAATGAAACTGCACTCGTAGGATGACGTCACTTTGCCATTATGAAATCATACGCTGTTGTGAGAAAATAGTTGAGAAGACATGAATTTCAGTGAAAAATTGTTTCATTGAGGTTAAGAATTTAAAATATGATAGAATATAGTAGAATATGCAAGATGTGCGTGCGGTTCAGATTGGAATATCGTCCCTCGGGACTCACCCATGGGCGGAAACTCGACTGATCCGAACCGCAGCATATGACAGATATTATACATTTAACACGTAATGCAATTTCTTAACACTTACTGATAACTTACCTGCGCCTTTTCCCATGACAAAGTCGGGTTCCCTATGTATGCCATTTCTCGTGTTTCGACGGCAGAATTGAAAACAAACCAGTCATTATCATTTATTGTGACATTAGTAAGATCTCGTTCACAAATGAACTTACGTTCCACGTTGCAATGAGAGTTCCGCAGAGAATACAAATCTAAATTTTGAGAATCTTTATAAAGGTTAGCGCATCGCTTGTCCAATTCTGCAGTGGGGTTTTTAACTCCCCACCCATTCCACAATGAATCGATTTTGTCCGTTTTGCCTGATGCAGTTCTCCAAAACCATTCGTTACTGTCAGGGTCATATTCACCCCCAACCCAGAACTCATCTGACAAAATATCGAAGATAATTGTAATTAACAATAAGAGAATTCTAAACTTTAATTGAACCTTATTTATATACAACGCATAATTATCTATTATTTTGACATCAGAAACAGAAACAGGAAACTTTGTTTTATTTCTACTCAAAATATTACAAATACAACATGAGGATATGTAAATGTTTTAGTTAAATGTATGAGGTTCCTGGTAGAAATCAGAAAAAAGTTAATTATTTGAAATGCATCAGTAAGTATCAATTAGTTAGTTGTGGCATGACCGAGTGGTTAACGTGTCAGACTAGTATTCTAATGCTGGCTAGCCGCATGGGTTCAAACCCCGTCAGGGGCAGTCTTTATTTCCTTGAGCAAGAAACTTTACACTTATTGCTCAGTTCTGCTTGAATCCATGAACGGAATCAAAATTGTGTCAATAAGCGTATAGCTTCCTAAACAATCAAACTAAAATAAATTCTGTATAAACCAACAATAGATACAGCCATTTACAGTTACCAAATAAATTGAGAATACATTATTTTTTTAGTACCATCAGAAGGTCCGAGTGATGATATACTAACAGCTGTCACTTGTGGTATTGCCAACAGCCAATCATTAATCTTCTGACGTTCTTCCAACGTGTGAATATGAGCAAGATATCCTCCATTACTCTCACAAACAGTCTGTTCCGAAAAAAAAAAGAAAAATAGAATTATTGTTTAACATCAAGCTTTGAATAGACTTGTTCATGAAATGTAGTCCTTTAAAACAACAACAATGTTTAACCTATCACTTTATCTTACTTGTTTGCTGACAAAAACGACACAGAAATCAATGTATTTTAAGTACAACGTGACAAATACATATAAGAGTCTGAATTTGGACTCCTTACATTTTGTATTCAGTACCAGACAATAAAGGTAATTTGGAAATTTACATTTTACTTAGGATACTGGTATAGATATTAAATTAGCAATTTTGCAGAAAATGCACGGTTCTAATTCAAATGCGTATGAATATAACCACGAAGGCCGATAGGCCTGGGTGATTAATTACAAAGCATATTCACGATAAACGCTGCATCTATTTCCATTCTTAAATGCTAATAAAAGGGAGAATTGATAAAAATTATGTTGCACTTTATGTGTTGAGGTAATTTTCACGTCCTTTGGTTTATTGACGTCATAAATGACGTCAAATGATGTGTTTACAAGCATTCGTTTTTATGCTGTCCATAAATGTTATCGTAAAATAATGAACTTGCTGGCCCTATCTGTTTGATATGGGAATAGTTTAAAGCGTGCTAGAATTAGAAATAGTACAAATTTCGCCTTTATATCCATTACAATCCTATACGGGTACTTTCAGTACTTTGAATTTTGAAAAATAATTATTATAATAATATTACCCACGTGCTCCTACCAGTTTGACTCCATGTGTGATTATTATTATGACAATGAAAACATGTTGTATGTAAGAAACGAAAATCATGGCGTTAAACGTTTCAAAATCTAAAAGTTAAGTATCAAGAAAGAATTCTTCATATTTTAGCGGCCATTGTGGACGCTATCTTGGATGTCTCAGCCTACAAAAAATCCAGTAAAATATTCAGTGGAATATCAGTGGTCCTTTAAAATGAGTTTTTTTATCACATACCCGCACAGCTTTACGGCTCCGTGAAAATGTTATGACACGTCCGTGCATATATTTTGACGTGGCGTCATTTGCATTATACAAACATTGCGTAAAAGCGCGCTAAAAGTCAGCGTTACACTAAATAGGCTCGTCAACGAAAAAAATATTATTTCAACTGAAAAACAGGTTTTTTTTTAAAGTTATGTGATATATCTACATCCCTCGTAGAATATAATAGAATATACAATAAAATTATTGTAGGTTCATTTCTGAAATTATTTAACTTGTTGAAGCCCGACAGAGGCTCGCATAATATAATGTTATTCAACTTGTTAAATAAATTCAGTATTGAACTTACACTTATTCAACATCATCTATATATTTAATTTAATTAGTTTATAATAATCAACATTAGATCATTCTAGCCACCATAGCATTTTTCCAGCTTAATTCAGCATCCATGACTGGTGCCAGTTGTCGCTTCCTTGTCTCGGATTCCAGAGTGTACCAATCGTTTTCATCGATAGATATGGACGGTTGTGGTGTTGAAGTCGTCTGTGAAGTTATAATTGGCGTTGTTGTGGTTACTGGAGACGTCAGAATTTGCCTCGTTGATGTTTCTTGGGACGTCTGAGCCCCCGCTGACGTCGGAATTGACGTCGATGATGTTTCTGGGGACGTCTGAGCTGCCGATGACGTCGGATTTGACGTCGTTGATGTTTCTGGTGACATCTGAGCCGTCGATGACGTCGGATTTGACGTCGTTGATGCTTCCTGTGACGTCTGAGCCGCCGATGACGTCGGATTTGACGATGTTGCGACTACAGGTTTTGTTACAGTTGGTAAAGTTGACACTGGTGTTGCTGTAAACGTATAACATTTTAAATCATTTAAATATGTAAAAAAAATAGGTGGATCGAAAGGGACTGTAAAGCTTTAAGTGACAGAATAGTTTTAAAAAATAAAATGTTTGCATTCATATCTTTATTCGAATAAAATATGTGTCTACTAGACTCATTTAAGAAAATATATTAAAGCGTTACTGAACAAAATATATAACATTTATGTATTAAGTAGGTTCATATATGATTTCGTGAACACACCCTTCTATACACCGGAGATTTACAAACATAACTCAGCAAACTATTTGCAGAAATACATTTATTAGATTTCCCAGTTTTACTATAAATAAGTAGATGTTATTGTAATCCATCAAAATCAATTTATGCTGCATAGTTGAATTTTAAGCACGGCAATACTGTATGTTCGAATCCCTCTAAGAAGTCGATTTTTTATCATGGGAGGCAGTCACCAGCTAGCTCACAAAAAGCCTAAAATAAGGCATATAGTGTCTGCTATAGTTGCCATGGGACATAAACAGTGCCCACAAATCTTCAAAGAACAACAACATCAACATAAAAAATGATAAAACCGGTCCCTAAAAAGAAAATACCTGAACAATTATTCTCCGCCCAACTGCCGTTGGCACAGCACCGAATGAAGTATGGATGGCTAATGTTACTGGCCATCCTGATAGTAGCGCCAACGTGTAGCATAAAGCCGTCATTTGGTTTGTAGTCACCGGAAATTGCAATGGGTTTGAGACATTCTAAAAATCGAGAATGGCAGAATAAGTTAATTTTCTAGATGTTATAAACTATATATAGAATTTTATCACACACCAGTGCCGATTTTGCGATTCCGTAAAAATGGTATTGCTCGGCCGTGCATATATTTTGACGTGACGTCATAAGCGTTATACAAACATAGTGTAAAGACGCGCTGTATGTTAGCGTTTTACTATAGGTGCGTCAATGAAAATGACTCTTATTTCACTTTAAACGGTCTTTATATTGGGTATGTGATTAATAGAATATTAAATTCGTGTAAGTTCATTACTGAATTTATTGCACGAGTTGAATAAAATAATATTAAGCTCGCCAGAGTCTCGCATAATATAATTTTATTCAACTCGTGCAATAAAGACAGTATTGAACTTACACTCATTCAATATCCTCTATATATTTGTATGTGAGAAGTTAGCAGTTAACAGTGAGCTAAGCAAAAAGGCATTGCAATTTATATAGGGAAATCAATGATCTGCTGCTATGCTCAGCTTGGTAAGCAATCTAGCGGGGCATTCCAAAATATAGTGCGAAAAATGCTCTGCTCCTATGCTCAGCTGGGTAAACAATCTAGCGGGGCATTCCAAAAATAATAGTGCGAAAAAAAAGCTCTGCTGGTATAGACTCAGCTGGTAAGCAATCTATGGCGGGGCATTCCAAAATATAGTGCTAAAAATGCTCTGCTGCTATGCTCAGCTGGGTAAACAATCTAGCAGGGCATTCCAAAATATAGTGCGAAAAATGCTCTGGCTGGTATGCTCAGCTGGGTAAGCAATCTAGCGGGGCATTCCCCCAAATTATAGTGCGAAAATGCATGCTCTGGCTGGTATGCTCAGCTGGGGTAAAACAATCTAGCGAGGCAATTCCAAAATATAGGCGGAAAAATGCTCTGCTGCTATGCTCAGATGGGTAAGCAACTTTAGCGGGGCATTCCAAAATATAGTGCGAAAAATGCTCTGCTGGTATGCTCAGCTGGGTAAACAATCTAGCGGGGCATTCAAAATATAGTGCGAAAAATGCTCTGGCTGGTATGGTAAGCTGGATAAGCAAACTAGCGGGCCTTCAAATTAATGATCTGCTGTTATGCTCAGCTGGGTAAGCAATCTGCGGGCATTTCAAAATATAGTGCGAAAAGCTCTGCTGGTATGGCTCAGCCTGGGTAAACAATCTAGCGGAGCATTTTCCAAAAATAAGTGCGAAAAATGCCTGCTGGTATGTTCAGCTGGGTAAGCAATCTAGCGGGGCATTCCAAAATTTAGTGGCGAAAAATGCTCTGTTTTGGCATGCTACCAAGCGGAAGCAATGGTAAGCCGGGCATTCCAAAATTAGTGCAAAAAGTGATCTGCTGCTTTCTCAGCTGGGTAAGGTAGCAATCTAGGCGGGACATTCCAAAATATACGTGCGAAAAATGCTCTGCTGCTTGCTCAGCTGGCAAAAGCAATGTAGCGGGGCATTCCAAAATAATAGTGGCGAAAAAGCTCTCTGGTAATCTCAGCGGCAAAGCAATGTGCAGGGCATTCAGAATAGTGCGAAAAATAACTGCGGAAGCTCGCTGGCTAAGCAATCTACGGGGCATTTCTTATATATAGTTAAAAACTAAAAAAAGTGCTTAAACCTGTAATGTCGACCGGGCAGAGCAATCGGGGCGGTGCTTTCAAAAATAAGTTTAAAATCTTTGCTGTATTCTCAGGGGTGCTA